CAGTGGTGGTTTTGTAGGCAAACATTAATGCCTTGAATTTTATGCGAGCAGCTATTGGTAGCCAGTGCAAATTGATAAACAGAGGTGTGACGTGCATTCTTTTTTGGCTCATTAAAAATTAATCTTGCTGCCGCGTTCTGGATTAATTGTAAAGGAAGCATGTTCAGAAGAAGTGAGCTGCCCTGTCGTGCGAAAATGTAAACAGGCTTGTGTAAGCAAATTGCTCAGTGCAAATAAAGAGAAGTAATGGGAACCTGATATTTCTTTTTTCATGTGTCTAATAGACATGAACAAGTTCTTTGAAAAACATCTGTGACCTTTGAAACATGTCTAGTCATTATGCTCTATGCTGACTATGGTTTCACTAATAATAAACATACATTTGCATAAAGCATCCATATTTGTCCATGCCCATGTTGATTAGAGTATTAAAAACTTAAAAGGTATTAATTTAAGGTACATTTAGAACAGATAAAAATGTGTGTTTAAGTTGCGATTAATCACGAGTTAACTCATGACTGTGTCTAATAGACATGAACAAGTTCTTTGAAAAACATCTGTGACCTTTGAAACATGTCTAGTCATTATGCTCTATGCTGACTATGGTTTCACTAATAATAAACATACATTTGCATAAAGCATCCATATTTGTCCATGCCCATGTTGATTAGAGTATTAAAAACTTGAAAAGTATTAAATGAAGGTACGTTTAGAACAGATAAAAATGTGCAATTAAGTTGCGATTAATCACAAGTTAACTCATGACAATCATGTGATTAATCGCAATTAAATATTTTAATCGATTGACAGCATATTGAGAGAGAGATATATATATATATATATATATACAGGGCCGCATTAAGACCTCATTGGGCCCTGGGGCTATGACTTACTGCAGGGCCCCCCATCACAATAATGATATATATAGCTTAAAATAGGATTTTTATCCAATCAAAATTGTTGATGCATTGCAATTTCATAATTCTTGTTACCAATTCCACTATCACAAAATAAAAAATTACTAGCCTACGTAAAAACAAACTTACTGAAGACAAGTAAACAGTCATGAATTACAATAGAACAAAGAAATTGACCTACAAACACTTAAAGCACTGAATAAGAAAAATTATATTGTATAAAATAAATAGACAACAAATAGACCGAATAGTCTTCACTGTATAAATTCAGTATACATTATTTTACAAAAGCGATTCGGTCAAGGACAGTGAGTGATTTTCTTTCTAATGTTTAATTTTCATTATTGACACAAATGGCAACAGCAGCTATATTAGGATGCTTTGGAGGAATAGTTCACCCAAAAAATTTAAGTTATGTTGTTGTTGTTGTTGTACTAAACCTGAATGAGTTTCTTTCTGCTGTTGAATGCAAACGTATACTATATTTGGAACAATACTGGTAACCAAACAGTTTCTGTGCCCCATGACTTCCATAGTTTGGAGAGAAAAAACACTATTGGAGTCAACAGGGACCAGCAACTTCCTGGTGGTTACGAATATTCTTCAAAATATCTTCTTTTATGTTGAGGAGAACAAAAAAATTAATACAGGTTCAGAACAAATTGAAACTGAGTAAATAATATTATTTGTATTGTGTATTTGTATTGTGTGTAAACTGATACTATAATATAAATTTTTTGGGGTGAACTATATCCCTTTAAAATCGCATCATATAATGCCAGGATCTCATAATAGCCAACTAGTGCACATGTTTTATGTTGCTGCCTTATGTTAAACTACTTTAAATGACTTTTTTTCCACATCAATCTACACTCCATACACTATACTGACAAAGCAAAAACAGAATTTTCACAACTCTGTAAATTTATTAAAAATAAAAAAAATGAAATAAGTATTCATATCCTTAACTAAATATTTAGCTGAAGCACCTCTACAGCCTCAAATGTTTTTGGGTATGATGCGACAAGCTTTGCACATCAGCATTTGGCAGTTATCTGCCATTCTTCTCCTCACCTCTTCATCTCTCAAGCTCTGTCAGGTTGGATGGGGGCAAATGCACATTTTCAAGTTTCTCCAGAATTATTTGATTGGGTTCAAGCTCAGGCTCTGGCTGGGCCACTCAAGGACATTCACAGAGTTGTCTGTAAGCCACTCTTGCTGTGTGCTTAAGGTCATTGTCCTGTTGGAAGGTGAACTTTCTGCTCAGTCTGAGGTTCTTAAGGATATCTCTATATTTTGGTGCATTGAGCTTTTCTTTCTACTCTGACGAGTCACTCGGTCCCTGCTGCTTCAAACTTCTTCCATTAAGGGTAACGGAGACTACATGCTTCTGTGACCCTTCAATGAAGCAGAATGCTTTTCTGAACTCTTCTCCAGATGTGTGGCTTGATGCAAACCTGTTTCTGAGCACTACAGGTAGTTATTTTGACCTCAGGGCTTGGTTTTTGCTGGTCCCAGATAAGGGTA